CTCAGAACTGCTGCGTTCTGTGCTTGTCACCGGCGAACGTCATGATGAGCAAAAGTTTGGGCGATGGAACGTGAGGAGGGAACGCGCAGAGCGATGACGGACACAAGGACACAGGCACCTCAGGTTGACAGCTACAGTTTACATGATGACAGATACTGAGGGTCGTTTCCCAGTTGCCTTCACTGGCCGAACCTTAGACTCGTGGACGGAGTTACATGGTACTCTTTGCTTACCGATCACGTGCCACTACAACGTACGGTATGAGGCGAATTTGCTGAGCCACCTAACCAACCTAACTATGCGAGAAATCAACGACAGGAATACACCCCAGTCATTTGTGAAATGAACATAAAATAAGCCAATATGAGACAAAGCACAAGGAAGGTTAGATTGCTTCTGGGATCGCGTAATAAGATCAAACTGCGGTCATTCATCATGTGTAATCCTCTATCCATATCCTTGTTACAAGCCTAGGCAGGAGAATCAATGACCACAATCCGTGCGTGTACAGAAAGAGAAGAGGGAAGGAATGACAGTCGTTTTATGTAATTTCTGATCAACTCTTGAAACATGAATGCACATAGTATGTTGCTTTCATTGTCAGCTTTCGCTAGACGATGATCAAGTAATGAATATCGTCATAATTATCATCACCATGATAAACATAATCGTTTTCCTTATTGCCATCGCCCTACTCCTCTTCATCACCACCACTACTATCATCACGATTATCATGCTCTTGACTCCGTAAGCATGAATATTAAATGCGAATAGTCATATAGTACTGAAATCAATCTACTAACAATATTTTCACTGTGACAAAGCCCCGTGGAAAAACGTAAGAAACACTAGAAACGGCTGTCCATCGATTTGCATCGTGAACTCTGTGCATAGCAGTTTTTTCATGAAGCTTCTCGGACGACATTAACCTCCGTTACACTGCTATCAGCCAAAAGCATCTTATTTGTGTTTGAAATTCAAGTTTACTGTTAAGTAGCCGCAGCTATGTATAATTTCATTTTCCGTCTCATATCCCGTGGACTCATTTATCTACCTCAAATGGACGCTATTCTAGTGACCGATCCGACTTCACACCTACGATCCTTCGACGACGAGTTCTCTACTCGTTGCCGGTCGAGCAAACTCGGCCAAAGGCAAGGAATCTGGTGTACAGGGCGTTTAATAACTATGGGGTAAATGATTTAGTCTTGCGTCTATCTAACTCAAGTGGGAGGTCACAGTGACTGACGATGGATATTCTTACCGGCAATATTGAAAACTGGCACTTTGCTCTTAAGCCCAGCATATTAGATTGATCTTCATGATACCGTTTTGTTCTGATTCTGTCTCCAAGATTGTTATTTATTTATATGCTCAGATCATGAAATATGTAGCCTTTCAAACTCCTTCGTATGCTACCTTCACAGGTAGTAAGAACTAACATTGATTTTTCTTCTGTTCATGGTGACTTCTATCATCTACAAAAATTTCCACCAAATTAAAC